TAATTAGACTTAGACCTATAGATATTATAGCCTATAGCTATTTATTCGTTTCTTGCCATGCCTTTCTAGCTATTCTCGTCTTTACCTTTCTAGTCTTTCCCCTTTCCTAGTTGCCGTTTTTAGCTGGCCGATTAACCGATTATAGCTATTTATAGCTGTAATCTTGATTAATCGGCACTAGGCCAGTTGTTAGTAGTTGGGCAGTCCTTGTTTCGTGCCTCCGTTAGCGTGCCCACGCTGCTCCTGTTCAATATTTATATGGGTCGCGTACTTATATTTTCATTAGTTAGACTTAGACCTATAGACATCAGGACCTATAGCCATTTACTCGTTTCTTGCCATGCCTTTCTAGCCATCCTCGTCTTTGCCTTTCTAGTCTTTCCTTTCCTAGCTACCGTTTTTAGCTGGCCGATTAACCGATTATAGCTATTTATAGCTATGATCTTAATTAATCGGCACTAGGCTAGTTATTAGTAGTTAGGTAGCCCTTTTCGTACCTCCATTATAGCGTACCTACGCTGCTCCTGTTTAGTAGCGACTACTTAGTAGCTCGAACCTTACCTTATCTTAGGAGTGACCTTTTGCGACCGTTTTTGTAGTCATTAGGTTCAGGATTCGTCGATTAGGAGATTCCCTGTTTTTCAGTTAATCAGGAGCTGTTTTCGTGGCTCCAGAGCCGTTTTTTTCGTGGCTTTCGGATTGAGCTTTTTTTCAGGTGGCTGGATTAATAGGAAGGGCAGATAACTATAGCGACCATCTTAATAACCCACGCCCTCCCATTAGCTTTTGATTAGCTTACCTGAAAGCTCGTTCGCCGATTAGCAGGAATCCCTATTCTCGTTTCTTAATTATCTCTTTTGAAGGAGCTATGCCCGTTTTCGTCTGGTTTTGCCTCCGTCGTTTTTCAAGTGCCTAGATGGCAGTTTTTCGCCCTCAGTTAATCTGACTAAGTTACCGCTATTACCCCTTTTTATAACCTCGTACGAGCTTGAAGGCATCCGTTCTTTACCGATTAGTTTATTTTAATTACAAGAGGCTTGCCGATAGCTCCGATCGCCTTTATTTTATCCCTTCCAGCCAGTTACGGCACCTAGGGAGGTCTTTCCTTACCTCCCTAACCGATAAGGTACTACGATGCCCTTAATTACTATACGAAGATACCGATAGACCTTATACCTACGAACCTAATCGGGGAACCTACCGATTAGCGCGATAGACCTATAAACGATACCGATACGAGATAGATAAGATATTAAATAAGACAGCTTAGAAATAGCCATAGGAATAGTAACGCCTAGAGACCCCTCTTATCGCCCTTACCGATATATAGTTAGTAGGAAGAGCCCAGAGAGCCCCTAGAACTACGTATAGGGGAGGGATCGAGGGTTAAGGGAAGCCCGGTAGATGCTACCGGACAAATATAGCAACGGTTATACGAATAACAGCCAGAAACGAGTCATAGTCGGGCATAAATAGGATATATTAGTTAGTTTATAGGATTAGGATTAGTTAAAAGGATCGGTAAAGCTAGTTATAAACGAAAAGGACGGGATTACGTTATATCGTATGGGATTATTTCTTTCGTTTCTTACGGGAGCTACGCTTATTTTACCTACCCGTTATAGTTCCTATTTCCTAACTATTAATCCCTATTATTTCTTAATAACCCTAATGGACCTAGCTCGCTCCTAGTTGATTAGGGTTAATTAAGAATAGGTTAATTAGGTTAGTTTATAGGTTATAGCTCCGCCAGCCTAGTTATTCTTATTATTAGATCTTTCCTATTTCCTATTAATCGTTAATTAAACTAACTTAGCTCTTAGTTAGTAGCGATTAAATAGGTTCGGGATTAATCAGGTTTAGGTTCAGGATTAGGTACGGTTGTAGTTACCTACCCTATTACCTACTTGTTGTTGTTGCAATCGTTCCTAGTTGACCTTGTTTCTTCCTAACTTATCCTGTTGGCCTTTGATTGAATTAGCTAGCTTTTAGTTGATTAGGGTTGATCGGGATTAGGTTGATTAGGTTGAATAGGAACGAGAGCTACCGCACCTATTATTATTAGGAGTTTAATTACTCCTTACGAATTAATTGAACTAAGGAGGCTATAGTGGTACGGTAGATCTAAGCTACGTAGCCTTTTCGATGTATATTTATATGGGTCGCGTACTTATATTTTCATTAGTTAGACTTAGACCTGTAGACATTAAGACCTATAGCCATTTACTCGTTTCTTACCATGCCTTTCTAGCCATCCTCGTCTTTGCCTTTCCATTCTCCTTTCCTAGCTGCCGTTTTTAGCTGGCCGATTAACCGATTATAGCTATTTATAGCTATAATCTTAGTTGATCGGCACTGGGCCAGTTATTGGCAGTTAGGTAGCCCTTATTTCGTGCCTCCATTACAGCGTGCCTACGCTGCTCCTGTTCAATATGCTATAATTAATCGTAACCTAAATACTTATGCGAAAGGTATAAACCGAAACTTAGGTTAATTAATTAGGAATTAATTTATAGCCGGTTTAGAATTAATTATAATACGTATTAATTAATAACTTATAGTTTTAATTAATTATAAAGCTAATTAAGCCGTCCTTATTTTAAGTAGCATGCTTTTAATTTATAGGTTCATAATACTTATTAGTAATAAGCTTAAAGATAGCTTAAAATATAAAGTAATATATCGGAATAGAATTAGAATTTATAATTATACGAATTAAGGTAATATCTAAATAATCGATTAGTAATTAGCTTATAATCGGTACTTAATCGATTACCTACTTCTTCGTAATTGCTTATTATATATAGCTTAAATTATTTCCCGATGGTTAGGAGAAAAAAGATACTTATAATTTATATTAATCGTATAAGTACGTGATCGAAGAAATAAGCGTAATTATACTAGCGAGAAATAAATAATCATAAAGTTATTTAAACTTTTATATATTTATTAAATGTATTAAGAATTAATTAGAAATCGATTTTAAATCGGCCCGTAATCGATTAGGATTAATTACCTAATTATCTTTATTATTTTACTTTTCGAATATATATCGAACTACTATAAATCCAGATCCGGTTAGAAAATATAAGATCCGTTATTTTCGAATCATATATATAATTATATCCTTATTAATAAAAGTAAAATAAAGGTAGGTAATATTAGTAATACCTTTATTTTTTAACTAGCTTTACGTAAGAAGGTATTAATAAAAGGAAGCTATTAATTATTTAGTAACCGATCCGTAATCGATTCGCATTATAATATAGACTTAAACTTATTTAATTATAAGCGGGGGTTTTAAATTCTCGTAATAAGGTCTTTAACCTCTTTACGTAACTCTAGCTTAATATTACTTAGAGGAGGGATAGGGTAAGTATGGATTCCTTTATAATATAAAAGAATATAAGGAACTAATTCTAAATCGATTAGGATAATTAATTTAAATTAACATTCATAATTTATATAAATTAAATTACCCCTCCCTTATGGGTGGTTAAAATCTATTAATTAATTAGTATATAATTATAAGTCGGTTAAGAATCGATTAACATACTATAGACCTTTCGCCGTTCTTTATTACGTTAAATAAAGCAATATACTAACGGCGTAATACTAGTAGTATTTCCGGTAAGAAGTTATTTCATTAAATAAATCCCGTCGTTATATTATCGATTAATTAACGTTATAAAATGCTTCTTTCTTCTTAAAGTAGGATTAGGGTAAGAGTTAATATATTTTAAGAAATATTAGGGAATACCGGATATTATTTAATATAATTAATTAATAAACGGTTTAATATCGGCTAATAATCGATTAATACTTACGTGGTCTTTAACTACGATTTAAAAAACGTAAGTCTCGTTAAACTCATAATAGCATTTCTTTGCTTTATATAACTCTAATATTAATTAAATATACCTATAATTAATTAGAATTCGATTATTAATTATTAGTAAATTAATTCTTACGTTATAGCTCCCTTATGAGATTATTTTTTAGTATTAGATTCTATTTATTAATATGCCTTTTTAATTAATTCGAATTCGGTATTTATTACTTCTGTATATGAATGGTTTCGTAGGTTTTTCTCTAGATATTCGTAAGCTCGTATACTAGTATAGGTATAGGAAGAATAAGAATAAGGAACGTCGTCGAAAAAGGCACTAGAACCTAATTTTATTAAACTATATTTTATATAGTAAAATAATACCTATAATTAATTAACAGCCGGTTATGGAATGGTAATTAATTAATTAAGAAATAATTACCTTTTCTATCGCTTTTTATATATCATTTATTATTCGACCTTTCTAATTAATAACGTAATAAGTGCCATTCTTACTTATTATAGGCTATATAGGAATATCCGGTACCTATATTATAGTTTCGGTACGATATTCGGCATATATTCTAACGCTTTAATAAGAAGAAATCAATTTTAATTTCTCTAGTATATAATCGACGATAGGATCTTCGTATATTACTTAGACCTATAATTAATTTCAAATTAATTAAGAATTAATCTTTTATAGCTTAGGAGTAATACCTATTCTTCTTTTATAGCGTTCTTATATGTTCCGAATTTAATTTCTTATAGCTCTTATAATTCTAAATTAATTTTAGATTAATTATTAGGGTTTATAATAATATTATTATTCTAAGATAGGTTTAATTCGAAGTTAAGGCTTAGATTTACATCTATATTAAAATTAGATGCGAAATCCATATCTAATTAATTAAAAATTAATCCTTAGATATAGATATAAAGAAGGATGAAATATAATACGTTAAGTATTATATGTCTAACCGATTTTAAATGGGTTACTAATCGATTAACGATTAAAATTAGTATGTAGGTAGGTAATTCGAACTTTCGTAGAAGTTTTAATTTTGGAAAGTTTAAAATTAAAAAGTCTATGGGATGTACGAAGAAATATATCCGTAGATCTATCTTATTTAGTTAATAGGGAAAAAGCTCGGCTAAATCGCCTAATCCGGTTAGAGGTTGGGGTAAGGTATAGGGGACTAGTTAGGCTGATCTGAGACCTCCTAAGCCGCCACTGAAGCTGGTTAGCCGGGTCTACGTGCAGCAACACGTAAGTAGTATAAGTGCGTATTCACACACGAGGCTAAGCGAGACCCGCTAGAGATCCAGGGGAAACCCGGAATCGCGCGACGAGATGAGATCTAGAGTCCTCGCTCATTTTTTATACTTAGATATTAGGGGGCAGTTTTTTTGTTTCGTTTTATAGTTACTTCAGATTTCATTCCTAAATTTCTCAATTCCCGCATCCGAAATATATCTCCCTTTTTCCCGTTTTGAGTAATTTTTGGCCTCGATCTTGCCGAATACCGCAGTCCGAAGTGAGACTCGCAGTCTTTTTATCTGTTAATTTTTCTATAGATATATTCCTTGTTGGCTAATCGCACCGGGCAAATGGCTACGCCGCCCCGACGTCGGATCGTCGGCGTTTCCACCAAGATGTACTTCTCCGCCGCGAGGACGAGGCGGTACGTCAGCGAGCTGCTGCAGATCCTGACCTCGTCGCCACCGGACCTCCTCGCCCGGCTCGACGTGTTCGTCATCCCGGACCACATCACGCTGGCGTCGGTCGTCTCGCAGCTGGCGGGCACCCGCGTGCTGGTCGGCGCGCAGGACGCCTCCTGCGAGGACGCGGGCCCGTTCACCGGCGAGGCCTCGCCCGCCGTGCTCGCCGAGGTCGGCTGCCGCATCGTCGAGCTCGGCCACGCCGAGCGCCGGCGCCTCTTCGGCGAGACGGACCGCGACGTGGCCCGGAAGGCGGCCGCCGCGGCCAGGAACGGCTTGACGCCCCTCGTGTGCATCGGCGAGCGCGCCCGTGGGGAGGCGGCGGCAGCCGCCGGCGAGTGCAGGGTCCAGGTCGAGGCGGCGCTGGCCGACCTGCCCGACGGCGCCGACGTCATCCTGGCCTACGAGCCGGTCTGGGCCATCGGGGCCGCCGAGCCGGCGGGGGCAGACCACGTCGTCTCGGTAACCAAGGCGATCAGGGCGCTCGACTGCGTGCGGCGGAGGAAGGGGACCACGAGGATCCTCTACGGCGGGAGCGCCGGCCCCGGCCTGTTCGCGAAGCTCCAGGACGGCGTCGATGGGCTGTTCCTGGGCAGGTTCGCGCACGACCCGGCCCAGTTCTACAGGACGATCCTGGAAGTAGCCACGGCTTAGGAGCGCGGATCGGGTCAGCGATGACTGCCTCTGGGCGGAAAGTGCGTCTTCGGAGAATTGGCAACCAACTTACCCGACCCTACGGTGGCATGGGGAAGCCAGAAATGGCGCACGGAATCGAGCTCTACGCAGACATGCTACCCATATTGTCGAGTATGCCGTGTCGATGGACGCACGTCGCGTAACTAATATCCCCAGCGAGGACTTTGGAATAACACATAACCTATGGTATCTTGGACCATGACATGACCAATCGGCATATGCCCAGGCACGCACGTGTCGAGAAGGAGAATACAAAACAAAAATTCAGGTGCACTATCCGTACCATTTAAATGGCGTCTTTTCCTCGCATGGCTGCCTGATTGTCCCTAGCCGACTTCGGAGTGCATAGTCTTTCTCCATATTCAAATATGCACAAGTAGAGAAGGGGGGACACTACTGCCAGAACGACGATAAAGTCAGAGCCGAGGTGAGGCATCTCCCAACAGCACAGCCGACTGGGCCTAGTTCAGGACCCATTCGCTGCCTCTCTTGACAAATTTATCGAGTAACATCGCGAGGTCTGCTAGTACAAAGCGGCAAATGTAAAATCCGAAGAACTCGGCCGCATGCCTAGTGCACAGCTCGAGTCCGACCTGAGTCTTATCCGCGTGGCGCAGGCCAGGGTCGTCGACTTGACGAGCGATTTGATCTAGAGCCTGTTAGCATCCTATCTTGTCTACGGGAGGAGGGAAAGGAAAGGGAGGAAATATGTGGGGGTGCTTCGTGACTGCGGCAAAATAGCCAAGTAGTTAAATGAATTGATGCACTCACCGACCGTCTGCGCAGCATCAAATAGTCTCGCTAGACTAGCCATATAGTGTGCGTACGGCCCGTCGAAACTTACCGATGCGACGTCTCGTTTCGCCGGCTTACTGCTGGGATGGCTGGTCATGGGTAGGCTCGGTATCGAGCCGACTGAGGTCGGGACATCTCGCTCAGCCACGCTGGGACCGTTGCTTCCGCCGCTGTTACTCTTTCCGCCATAGGCACTGGTCATATTGGCGGCCGATCCTTTATTTCTCAACCTCCGCCAACTGAACGCACCCCCCTTTCCGCTGACACTAGCGCTGCGAGGCACCGGCGGAGCAACCTCGACGTCCCCCCCATCGCGGAGCCCATTCATCCCCTGGGTGCCAACTTCGTTTCCGAGTTTCCGCGACAGCGTGATCTGAACTGCTTCGAGGATGTTCTCGAGGCTCTGCATCTCCTCCAGGACGGCATCCGCGTCATTACTGTCCACCCTTGCGAGTTTGAGCAGCGCAGCTGTCAGGAGGTCGCACTGCGATATTTTATCCTCCAACGAACGCAGCTTGACGCCCTTCACCTTCCACGCATCCCGAGGAATGAAAAGTCGACTGCTTATATACCCCCCGCGCGGGTGGGCGAGCGTCTGGTAGAGGGCACGCATGAGCCAGAACGGTCTAAGCATAGCATCCGACGGGCACGGCTCTAGGGGTACTGGCACGTCGGGGTTGTTGTGGAGGTGGTGGTGGTGGTAAAGTTGGTTGGGCGAATGGGACGTTGGAGAGTGGAAGTCCGAGTCGAAGAGGTGTAGTCCGCCGAAGCCGCCGGTCATCCTTTCATGGAAAGCTGCCGCCAGAGGTGTAGGTAGCGCGGGAATCGTGGGATGCCGGGCGATGGAGGTGTTCGAAATTTGGTGACTTAGCGGGGTGTTGGGGGACAGGTCGGAATCGTCGATGTGTGAAACAGAGAACTGACGCGATTTCAGGGACTTGAGGCTAGAAGACGAGAAGTTCTTCCGTATGCCAGGTCGGGTAGAGGTCGGAGAGTCGATCCGGCCTTCATCGAATTCCTGGATGCCTGCCTGAGTAGCCGGTGGGCTTGGAGGGGCCAATGCCTCACCAGGGTTGACTCCTCTGACCGGTGACGAGGGGGCGCGCATGGAAAAGGGGCCCGGGCGCGTCGATGTCGCAGAAAGCGCCTGCCTTTGCTGGGCTATAAAACCTCCGGGGTTCTTCGACTGAAGCCCAGACGTAGCGGCCGATGGCGGTATGTTCGGCGCCTGGCCTAGCTTCGAGGTCTCAATCTTGAGTTGTTTGGGGTTCTGCCCGGAGAGGCGACGGCTCCGCACCCCAGATGTAGGTGAAGTCTGATGCGGTGGCGAGTGAAGGGACGGCGGCGGCATCTCGGTCACCGTGGACAACGCGGTCGTGGCCGTCGGAGGGTTCGAGCCGGCAGAACCGTGCCAGGTGCGAGAGGTGGTGCTGCTAGAGTCCGATTCTCTGGGAAATATGGACTGCGAATGCTGGGATCTGTGGTTGGAGGGCGCATCTTCCATCACATACCGCTTGGTTATCTCGTCTAAGATGCGCTCTTCCTCGTCGGAGTCGTTGGCATCGAAAAAGTCACCGCCGAAGTTGTGCGACTCCTGATCCAACGACAACTGTCGCTGATGTTCTCGCTCACGGGCCAGCTTTATCGCAGCCTCGCGCTCGGTTTGTCGCAGCCTCTCCTTCGCGAGCTCCACCTTCCGCATTGCACTCGCCACATCAGCGCTGGCGCCGCTGTGGTTACCCTTGTTGTTGCCAGCGCTGCCCTCACGGTCGTAAGAAACCTCGTACGAATCCATTGGTTCGTAACCGTCATCGTACGCAGCCTCCACTGCGGCATCCAACGCAGCGTCGAACTCCGCCTCGGTGTTGCCGCTAGCATGGCGGAGGTGTCTCCTCCTGATCGCTAGGGACGAGGTCCTCGAGTGCACCGAGGATGAAGCCGAGCCGCCCGATTCGTCAATTGGATCCAGCCACGACGCCGATTCGTGACTAAGGTTACGCCTATGGCTCCTAGAGCTACTTTCCGCAGCGAGCCGGTCAGGCGGCCACGAGAAATCCTGCCGCACAACGGGCTCCGGAGTAGGTGGGTTCGCTGGTGATGGTTGCCTTCGAGGTGACAACGGGGCCGGCACGAACCCTGTGTCTTGCGAGTGGGGCAGGTTGAGCGAGGGCCGTTCGAAATTTCGCCTTGTCTGAGAGGCTGAGAAGGACGATTGGAGGGGGCGCTGGTCCAGGCCGGGGTTCGGAGAGGAGCGGGAACGAAAGGGTTCTCCCGGTAGGTTCGTCAGATCCGGCGACGGCCGACCAGAAAAGCCGATGGGGGAGTCGCCCCTGCCTATCCTCCCCACTGCCGTACCCTCAGCAGAACCCTCGGCGCCGGCCAGCTCGGGTTGGACGTCACGATAGTTGGCACCCTCCGGCCGTGCAGGTAGGGCCTTGTCACTCTGCGCATATACGGGGCCCAGCCCATCTAGCTCTTCTATTCGGCCAGCGTAGGTAAGGCGCTATGGAGGAAATTTTTTCGGTTAGTCTCGTGCGGTTATCGTGAGGCAGTATATTGCGGTTAAACTCACAATGGCCTCCAACTTCCTTTGATCCTCCTCGCCACTCGTCCTAGCAAGAACCTGCTGCAACAGATCACACGCTTCGAGATAGGACTCCCTAGCGGCGCCGTAGTTCTGTTCGTTGTCCCATTGAACGGCGGCGTTCGCCTGTGCCAGGGCCTTGGACAACATTGCTTTCTGGGACGGCTTGCTGGCACGGTCTCTGACCCTCATCGAATCACCGTTACCTCTCGCCGCGGCGGAAGAGCGCCCTCTCGGGTGGCTCTTCTTCTCAGACATGGCGTCGACGGCGAGGCCGATGCGGCTAGAGAGATGGGGAGGAGATTCGGGATGCGCGTCAAGGGGCGAGAGGGAGATGATGGGGGGGAGGCTCGGTAGCTCGGAAGAGGTCGACAGCGCCGGTCGGCTTCGCTGCGAGGCGTTCGTTTCGCTGGAGCCGACACTTAAGCTACGGTAGTGGTAATCGTTATTTCGCCGATCTCGACGGTAGGAGGCTCGACTCGAAGAAGTGGAGGAAGACCAGCGGTTGAGATTCCGGAAACCGTCGCTAGCGGGGCCAATGCTACCGAGGGGCGAAGGAATGGTGGGCGATACCGTTCTGATATTGGCGCTGCGAGGCGGCGGGAGAAGTGACGAAGTCCTCGGTGGAGGGTGGTGGGGGGCGAGTCTGAGACCGGAATTCGAATGGGGACCAGGGTTGAGATGCGAATAGGAGCGGGTGTGGGATTTGAACGTGAAAGCCGGGTTGGAACGGTGGTTAGAGGTTGAATGGAGATCCGGACGGGAGAGGGTATCAGAAGTGGGAGCTGGCCGGGCAGGGTGATGGGGGGGAGTCAGAGGGGGAGTCAGATGGGGAGCAAGATGGGGAGCCAGATGGAGATGGGGTCGGGGACCCGGTCGGACACCGGCGCGAGATGGACCTTCACTAGCACCGCTTGGGGCGGCCTGGGTCGAGGCAGTCGCCGCAGGCGTGGCTGTCGTTACTGTGGTCGTTGCTGTCGTCGTGGGCGTCGTCGTGGCTGCCGCAGCCCCTGTCGTAGCCCCTATCGCACCTCCGGCTGTTGTTCCCGCTGTAGTCCCCGCTGTAGTCCCTGCTATAGTCCCTGCTATAGTCCCCGCTACAGTTCCTGCGATAGTGGCTGCTGTCGTCCCTGTCGTCGTCGTTGCCGCTTCGTCTCTCGGGCCGCGTCCGCGGGCAGCTGCTGCCGAGCTGGGGCCACCTGCACCGCTCGAAGGCGCCGCGACGCTACTCAGATGAATCGACCGGCCTGTTTCCGCTGGTGCTGTGGTTGCTGCTGTGGTTGCTGCTGTTGTTGCTGTTCCATCCCCATCACCACCGACTCCATTGGACCTTCGATTGTACGCGGAATTGCCGGCAGGCGAGGCGGCGTCGCTCTTCGCGACGGCTGAGGGCGATGCGTTCGGGGGTGTGCGCGAATCGGTCGGCAGGTTTTGTTGTTGATGGTGTTGTCGGTGCTTTGGGTGCTGCCCAGAGGAGGAGGACGGGCGCGACGGTACCCAGTGTGGCGGAGGAGGGAGAGGAGGATGAAGGGGAGGAGGAGCGGGAGCAGGAGGAGATAGTGGCATCATGTATCTTCCTTCACTTCTAATTCTACCAGACTAATTTGTCCCGGACTGTCCCACCTCTTTCCCAATTCTCGCTCGCTCTTACACGCTCTCCTATTGCGATTCCCAAGCGGCTCTAGGGCGAGCGCCCCGTGCTGAGACAGCATTGACTCCCACCAGAAAGAGGCAGCCACTGGCCGATCACCCCCTTACTGCACCCACCTTATAGTATCCACCTCGAAGTACCTCGGTATTGTACATGCGTACCTAGGTACCTCTTGTATGTAAGTCCCGCTACAATAAGGTACATGCACCTCCTAAGCTACAATACCTCCAAGTAGGTACCCAACGTACCCACCTAGGTATCTAGATACCTCTCACCCAAGTTCCATACCACGGAAGTCGTCCCGTAACGCAGATAAGCCCTGCAGATGCGGCAAACGTCCTTCTTAGCTAAGCTTCTGCTCTGCTGCGTGTACCTATCAGCTAATCTGTCCCTTCGGAAACCACGGTCAGAATTCACGGTGTTGGTGATTTATTCGTCGCATTTAGCTCTAGCGTCTTGACTATAGATCCAACCCTCAAGGGACCTAGCCTTCTTTTTTTTTTTTCTCTTTTTTTTTTCATGACCCCCGTCATGCCACGTCCTGGAAACCCCATCAAACTCGACATAATCTTAGCAGTACCGTCAAGTTGCTAACGACGTGTTCTTCTTGTAGTATAACGACTTCTGTCGTCTCGCCCGCCGCCGAAAACGGTTCCAGCGGCCCGCGCACAGTACTCTCGAATTGAGATTGCCGAGTAGACACCAACGTCTCAAACGAGACACCGTCGGGGTTCGAAACGACGTGATATTGCATGCGAATGTCGTCAGTTGGGACCAGGCCAGCTGTCTTGCGCATTTTCTGGACGCGGGTGATAACATCGCGGGCGATCCCGTCATCCACCAGCTCCGGGTGCGCTGCCGTGTCCAGAAGAACGATCATGTCCTCCGAGAAGGATGGCTCGTACTGAACTCCGTCGTTTCCCACCACGTTGGGATTGTCCTTGGCCAAGACCCGCACGATAGTCAGATCGCTCCCCTCTAGCTCGATCCCCTTTATGGTTATCTTTTCGTCCTTCAGGTACTGCCTGAGCTCCTCCTGCGTTAGATCCGGCAGAGCCTTACGGACGACTTGGGCATCCCGCTTCAGCTTCTTGCCTAGGTTCGGCCAGTCGACTCGGGCTTCGAGGTGGATGCCGTATCGTTCTTCGTCATTTGTGAGGACAATCTCTCGAATATTCAGCTCCTCTTTCACGTACGTCTGCAGCTCCTCGATATCCGCGAGGTGCTGCGCGTCGGCGATGACTACGAGGGTGAGAAGTGGCGTTTTCAACGGGATGGTCTGGCGCTCTCGAGCCGTCCTCCCAAGTTGGATGACCTTCTGCATGGCAGACACTTTTCTCTGAATCACTTCGTCGAAGAGGGACTCCTGCACCGTCGGGAACGCGAGGAAGTGGACACTTCGCGCGTCCTCGAACTCGGAGAGAACATCATCGCTTAGGTAGGGCTGTAGGAGATGATAGATGTGCTCTGTGATGAACGGCGTGAAGGGTGCCAACGCGCGGACTAGCGTAAAGAGCACTTGGTATAGCGTATCTAAGGCTGCTTTGGTGTCTCGGGAATCCAGGCCAGCAGCTCCCTTCAGCCTCTTGCGGTTGAACCGAATATACCAATTCGTCAAATTATCAATCACCAGCAGCAGGCGCGGTACGACAGTGTACAGCCGGTAACCTGCATGGTTAGCAATCAACCTGCGCTTCGGGTATGTCGCGACTCACCCGCCATCTCTTGGTCGATAAACTGCAGCATACTCTGGCAGTCCGCGAGAATCCACCGATCCATGACATTAGTCGTCTCTGGCAGGCGGGCAACGAAATCACTGCCGGTGGTCTTCTTGAAGAGGGCCGCCTGTTCGTAAAAGAAGCGGTAGCTGTTCCACAAAGGAAGAAGCACTTTGGCTACCACTTCCTTAACCCCTGCTTCCTTAAAACGCAAAGGCTCGCCACGAACAACGGGGGAGTTGATGAGGTAAAGTCGTAGAGCATCGGAGCCATACTTATCGATGACGGCCTTCGGATCCGGATAATTCTTGAGGCTTTTGGACATCTTCTTCCCGTCTTCCGCTAGAACCAAGCCATTCACAATAACTGCACGGAACGGCGAGACGTCAAATAGCTTATTTCCCAGAACGGTCAGCGTGTAAAACCAACCACCTAGGTTAGCCCGAGTTAGCTACGAATATATATTCAGAACCAGCGGTACTCGGGCTCGCAAGCAGGCTGCTCTCGCGGGGGCTGGCCGTGGAGGCCGATACTTACGCGTTTGGTCAAGCCCCTCGGCGATGAAATCAGCGGGGAATTTTCCACGGTGGAACTCTTCGGCGTTCTCAAAAGGAAAATGGTTAGAAGCGTACGGCATGCTTCCCGACTCAAACCAGCAGTCGAAGACCTCCTCGACACGTCGCAGCTGCCCCTTGCCTTTCTTGGAGGGGATCGTTATATTGTCGATCTTGTCTCGATGTATATCGTCCAATTCTCCCGTAAAGCCACTAAGTTCCTTAAGCTCTGCAATGCTCCCCACGCAGACAACTTCTTCGTAGTCCTCGCTGACCCACAACGGGAGCGGCGTGCCCCAGTACCGATTTCGGGCAATGTTCCAGTCATGCGCGTTCGCGATCCAGTTAGCGAATCGTTTTTCTTTTACAAAGGAGGGAACCCAGGTAGTCGATTCGAGATTCGCGAGCATATCTGGTATAGAATTGGTAACTTTTATGAACCAAGAAGAAACAGCCCGTCTGATAAGCTGCGTGTCCGACCGCCAGCAGAACTTGTCTACGTGGGAGACCTGGGTGGCAACTAACAAACGACCAGTTTCTTTCAGGTCCCGGATTATAGCCTTGTCAGCGGATTTCACATACTGGCCGGCGTAATCGGCCACCTCTGCCGTAAAGAGCCCCTTCTCATCGACCGGGCACGGCGGCAACCGCTTCGGGTGTATAAAGCCGGCAGCAACCGCAGCATCGTAATCTTCCTGGCCGAATGCGGGGGCCTGGTGCACAAGGCCGGTACCTTCGTCAGCTTCGACATAATCCGCGCCGATGACTTGGAAACAGTCGGAAAATTGGTCGACAAAGTAGCGGAACAACGGCTCGTATTTCCAACCGATCATGTCCTTGCCTCGGATCTTGCTGACGATCTTATATTTTGCCTTCTTCTTGTCTTTGTACAGCATGGAAAGGCCGCTCTCGAGTAGGACGTATTTCTTGCCCGACTCTTCATCTAGAATCTCGACGTACTCGAGATTGGGGTGAGCAGCGATCAAGAGGTTGGATGGCAGGGTCCATGGCGTCGTCGTGTAGATGATCAAAGACACATCTCTGCCCTGCACTGGGAAAGCGACCAACACTGCCGGGTCCTGCGTCGTCTTCTCGTTTTGCTTCGACTCCATGTGGCTCAGCGGGGTGCAGAGGGCCGTCGAAAAGGGCATGATCTGGTAGGCACGGTACACCTGGTCCTTATCGAAGAGCTGCTTGAAGCCCCACCAACAAGATTCCATGAACGTGACATCCATGGATTTATAATCTTGCGTTCGGAGCGCCGTTAGTCTTCGCTCAGCCAGATCGTAGGGGTGACAAAGCCGAGCCTACCGTTGTCGAAATCTATCCAGCGGCCGAGACGTTCGATGGTCTGCCTCCATTCCGTCGCATATCTCATGACGATAGCTCTACATTCCGCATTGTACTTTTCGATGCCCATCTTCATCACAGCATCTCGGCCAGACACACCGAGGGTCTTGTCGATCTCGTATTCGATCGGGAGCCCGTGTGTGTCCCAGCCGAAGCGACGGACAACATGGTACCCTTTCATCGACCAGTATCGGGGTATGATGTCCTTAATCGTGGAAGTCAGAAGATGGCCGTAGTGAGGCAGGCCAGTCGCGAAAGGGGGGCCATCGTAGAAAGTGAAGCGCTGGCGTCCCTCGGTGAGCCTCAGTTGGGTCTGAAAGGCATCAACCTCTCTCCAGAAGCGCACAACATCTTCCTCTGCCTGGGGGAAGTTAATGCTCATCTTGGCGAATAACCACGGCCCTGCTGCACTTGGAGTCTGGCGGGCGAGGCTATGACGATTTCGTAGGCGACTCGAGCTAAAGTGGGAGTAGAAGGAGGTTGTCGTACCGCCCTCTTATCACCCCGCCAAAAATTTCGCGTGAGTCAACTTACGGGAGGGGAGAGTCCCCGTTTACGGCGACCGCGGGGCAGTTACGTACCCAGGTACCCAAGATACCTAACATGGGTACTTGCGTGCCTTACGAAGGGATGTACCCACACGGGCACTGTCTCCCGTCATCAGAAGATACCCAGGTACCTCAGGTAGACAAGTCTATTCCGGCCACCGTCACCCCCAAGTAATGCAACAAATGGTTACCACAAGTGTTCATTCTACGGAACAACTTATCTAGTAGAGCTCAAGTTTCCCTAAGTGACGCGCAACAGGCGACTGTCTGGGATCCCATCAGGCTATCTAAGGGGACTCACCGCCTCTGTGGCTCGCAGATAAGGACGTACCTACCTAGGGACAGGGCGTCCCCGGATAAGAGGCGGCAGCGCGGCAATACCCATGCACTGACCTGGTTCCGTGGCTATCTATCCTTTAACCGGCATCCCTTAATCACCCCGTGCCGTTCGGATCAGCCCGGAACGGTTCTGAGATGGTGTTAACCGTTCCCCCTTCAGTGCATCATCCCCAGACCCAGGTGTTCAGGGTCAGCCTTTACGATCCGCTGCGTATTTGTGTTTCCCATGCCACCCCGCCAGCCCTGGACAACGACAATGGTATCAGACTTGCTGAGCAGGCCTAATCCCAACGCCTTCTCCACTGCCCACTTGATGCGGCGATCCACGTCCTCCTGCCAGTTGACCTGATCATAGTCCGGTTTCGCTTCGTCAAACAGGAAGGGGTAAACGCCACGGTGAAGGTGGGCGTAGCGCGAGGCTGACGGGTTTCGAGTTACCATGAAGATGGGACACACCGGTCGGTACTTCGCAAGGAGACGAGCCGAGTCCCCAGACGTCGACAGAACGATAATGGCCCCAGCGTTCAAGTCTAGCGATGCCCGCACAGCCGCCATAGCACAGGCTTCAACGACGCTTGTGGGTCGTTTCGTGAGGGAGACCATTTCCTCGTAGTGGCTGACGTAGGGGATCGAATTCTCCGCAGCCAGACAAGTGTTACTCATCTCACGGACCGCCAGCTCCGGGTATGCTCCCTTGGCGGTCTCGCCGCTAAGCATGACGCAGTCGGCTCCGTCGGTGACGGCGTTGCCAACATCGCTAATCTCAGCTCTGGTCGGCCGGGGGTTGGTAATCATACTCTCCAGCATCTGGGTGGCGCAAATCACCGGTTTGCCGGCGATGTTACACTTCGCAATCAGCTTCTTCTGGGCGCCGAACACCTCATAGGCCGGGATCTCGATGCCCAGATCGCCTCGAGCAACCATGATTCCGTCAGCCTGCTCGAGAATCTCATCGAAATTGTTCAACCTAGCAAAAATCCCATTAGAACTGCCCAGGCTCGCGTGCTCAATTATGCTGGGTTGAAAATTTGGGAGACGGCGCTCAAACGGAGAAGAACCTACCCCTGCCTATTCTCGATCTATAGACAATACATCAGCTAACGCGCAATGAGCTTAGGACGAATAGGCACACGAACCTTTGCAATGATCTGGATATGTTTACCTTCGGGTCCCAGAACGTCGCGAATCGCCCGAATGTCATCACCCCTGCGGATGAAGCTCGCAAAGACCATGTCGACGTTGTTCTGTACTCCAAATCGCAGATCCTTCTTGTCCTTCTCCGACAGGGCTGGGAGGTCAACGTCGGTGTCTGGGAGGTTAACACCCTTGCGAGAAGAGATGAATCCATTGTTGCGGCATCGAACTTGAACCGTCTTGTCGTCCTTGATGCTAAGAACGTCAAAGGCAAGGACACCGTCATCGACATATATGACCCTACCGGGTTCGATCACCCGGGTGATGTTCACATAGTCGACGTACCTGAAGGGGGTCAGGTCAGCGGAACGTGGCGTGACAGGTTGGCTGTTGCCTCTCACATATGCTCTCCATTGCAGGCAGTCTTGAATGTTTCGTCCGTGGTGATATCTAGGACGTGGCCAGCCTTGATGGGAATGTCCTGGCCGTTTTCCGTGTCACCGGTTCGAATTTCAGGGCCCTTGGTGTCGAGGGCGATTGCGACCTGCCGTCCATCAAGTGCTTTTTCGGCGGCGCGGGTGTTATCGATGACAGATTGGTGATATTCGTAGCTCCCATGACTGAAGTTCTTCGCGCAGTTAGCACCTCGACGACCAGGAGATGGGGCGGCAGGGGAGGGGGATACCAACCATGCGAACAATATTCAGACCAGCTTGTCGTCTGGTTGCTATGTCAGCTGATGAGATACTCGTCGAGGGGGGGGGGTAGACTAACAGAGAATTGATCTTCTCGACCGAGTTCGTCTTGGGCCCGATGGTACAGATGATGGAGGTCCGGCGATGCGAGTTCTTGGGCGTGGCAGCGGTGTTGAGGCTCGCAAGCCACTCCACACGACTGCCCAAGGCGAGGTGATCGAGAGACGACGGCGACATGGCACTCGGAAGCAGTGCTATCGAAGCTGACGAGAGACGCGTATATGGGATACCTGCGAAGGGGGGCAGGCCGGGGACGGGGATACGAAGAGGATAGGACAGGTGGTTTATTAGGGAAGAAGGGGCAAGACGGAAGAGGGTGAGACGGCGAGACGGTGAGACAGGGAAGGGGGGCCTGTGACAAGAGATATATAGGTAAAGTAGAGACGGGGGGAGACGAGGAATACGGAGAGAAGGGCGGATTGAATTTGTGGTGGGAGTGAGGTATTTCCTTCCAGGCCGTGAATATTTTCAGCAAAGTTCAGACGAATTACGGACCAACCCCACCTCTGGTCTTCTGGTGGGAGAGGCAGACGACCCGTTGCTCGAGCACCCGCGCCGGACAATCCGTATATACCTGGATAGGTAGGTAAGCTCTGATACATGGATGGAATTCACCGCAACCTCCGCTCCCGCCTGGCAGCCTGGTGAGCTCTGGGCGAGGCCACAAACACGCGCACACATCACATCCCACCCTGTGTGCACCGCACACCAGTCGATCCGGCCTCGCCTCCCATGTGCGGGGCCTGATTGGACAGGGGTTAGGTAGAGAGGGAGGGGAAGAGGTGAAAAAAAAAAAAAAAAGAAACCCGTAGGTAGGTACTTACATACATCAATATCTGCACACGATCGATACATTGCCTCCCATCTACCTAATGGGGCGCCTAGAGGTACCTACCTTACACCAGCCGTATACAGGTATCCGGTACCTCGTAGCAGGTGAGGGAGGGGCCACCTGCAGCCCGCCATCTCAACAACCACAGCTTAAGTTACCTACTAGAAGGAAGCGCCTAACCAAGTACCCACCTCTCGACCCCTCCAAAGCACCAACGTCAGAGATACACAGGTAATCGAGCTATGCAGGTGTGTGTGTAGATGAAATCTATGAGTGAACCCGTGCTGCCCATGTGGCCTGTGTAATGGTAAATCTGGCGTCGAGTGCAACATAGAGCACCCACCAGAGGGAGGTACCTAGGTACCTACAGGTAGGTAAGCTAGGAGGTGAGGTCGAGGTAAGGTGGGTACTAGGTACCTAGGTTCCCACCTTATCGGCACCGGAGGTAATGAGATAGTTGATGATTGGACAAGAGCCGGGAAGGGTTATCCCATTCTAGGGTTCGGATTTGGCGTGTTTAAGGCGCGGGGACGGGGATATCCCCTATAAGTACCCATGTCGAGGTAATGCATACTAAAGTGCCTGGCGCGTTATCGATGCACCTCCTAGAATAGGTACACGTCTCGTTTTTTTTCATAACTAACCCCCTTCAAGATGGCAAGGTTAGCGAAAAGAAATGGGGATACGTCATAACATTTTCCCGGGCCGCTGAGCCAGCTGTGCAGTTTGCAACGATGGCTGGGGGAGTGCATACTTGGCTGTTTCGGCCTAAGATGTTATCAAGAGCCTTGACAATCACTACCTACCTAGGGAAAGGCAGTAGTTATGTTGAGACCAGGACTGAAGTTTACACTCCGGATCCCTGCCTCTACGGAGTCGCATAGCTACAACTGGGAAAAAACTCCACTTTTCGGTCGAACGCCCCAGTTTTATCGTCTACACATACGCCCCTAATAAGAGGAGGTATGTATGTTTGATGCAAGTCCCCGATAGCTTTATATTATATTCGTAGTAGCTTATATATGTACGAATAGAGTTATAGGCTACCGAGCTACCCCTTCGCGAGCCGGGTATTTTATATAGGTTTATATATAAACGATTTATTACCGTAAAAAACCGGAAAAAAATCAGAAAAATCGGAAATTTACTTACGTAATTAATTAGCTTAATTAAATTAATATATAAACTTTTCGGATTTTTTACTTAGTAATATAAGAAATTATTTACGATTTAAAGAGTTTTAAAACTATATTAATAATTTATTATATAATTTATTAATAAATCTATTAATTATACTTTATATCGGCCTCTTAACTTATTTCTTTTACGGTAATAAAGTAGGTCTATTACTTAATCCTTTATAATATAGATAAAATAATAATTAAAATTACGTAACTTTTTTTTTAAATTAATCAAGTCTTAAAAACGTTAATTTTTATTATTCTTTTTTAGAACCTTATTATATAAAAAAAGAAGATAGTTAGAAAGGTAGAATTCTTATTATAAAAATAGTTACGATTTTAAAAAGTTTTAACCTATTTAAAAACGTAGTTTTCTTAAAATAATAAATTAAATAAAAACGGAAATAAAGAATAAAAATAGGATTACTTAATACTAGCTATTTTTTTATTTATAAAATAAAGTATTAGGTAATAGACCTACTTTATTACCGTAAAAAAATTAGGTAATGAATAGGAGTAGCGTAGGTACGCTAACGGAGGTACGAAATAAGGGCTACCTAACTGCTAATAACTGGCCTAGTGCCGATTAACTAAGATCATAGCTATAAATAGCTATAATCGGTTAATCGGCTAGCTGAAAACGGTAGCTAGGAAAGGGAACTAGAAAAGGAAAAGGAGGAAGGCTAGAAAGGCATGATAAGAAACGAGTGAATGGCTGTAGGTCGTAATATCTATAGGTCTAAGTCTAACTAATAAAAATATAAATACGCGACCTATATAAATATATATCGAAAAGGCTACGTAGCCTAGATCTACCGTATTACTATAGCCTCTCTAGTTTAATTAATCCGTAAGGAGTAATTAAACTCTTAATAATAATAGGTACGGTAGCTCTCGTTCCTGTTGAACCTAATTAACCTAATCCCGATTAACCCTAATTAACTAAAAGCTAGTTAGTTTAATTAAAGGCTAATAGGATAAGTTAGGAAGAAATAGGTTAACTAAGCGATTATAATAGTAATAAGTAGGTAGTGGGTAGGTGACTATAACCGTACCTAACTATACCCGATCCTAATTAATCCCGAACCTATTTAATCGCTACTAACTAAGAGCTAAGCCAGTTTAATTAACGATTAATAGGAAACAATAGGAAAGATTAAGAAAGGTCCGATAATAACTAGGCTAGCGGAGCTGTAACTATAAACTAACCTAATCAACCTATTCCTAATTAACCCTAATTAACTAAGAGCGAGTTAGCTCCATTAGGGCTACTAAGAAATAATAAAGATCAATCGGAAAATAGGAATTATAACGGATAGGTAAAATAAGCGTAGCTTCCGTAAGAAACGAAAGAAATAATCCCTATACGATATAACGTAATCCCGTCCTTCTTATTTATAACTAACTTTTACCGATTCTTTTTAACTAATTCCTAATCCTATAAATTAACTAATATATCTTATTTAATGCCCGTTTCTATGACTCGTTTCTAGTAACCGTTCCTATATTCGTCCGGTAGTATTTACCGGGCTTCCTTTGACCCTCGATCCCTCCCCTATACGTAGTTCTAGGGGCTCTCTAGGCTCTTCCTATTAATTATATATTGGTAAGGGCGATAAGAGGAGTCTCCGGGTATTAACCTATAACTCGTTTCTTTTCTATAGCTATTTCTAGGCTTTCTTATTTAATATCTTATTTAATTCGTATATCGCGGTATCGTTTATAGGTTTATCGCGTTAATCGGTAGGTCCCGATTAGGTTCGTGGGTATAAGGTATGTCGGTATCTTATTATAAGGGTATCGTGGTACCTATCGGTTAGGAAGGAGAAACCTCCCTAAGTACTGTAACTAGCTGGCAGGGATAAAACAAAGGCGATCGGATCTATCGGTAAGCCTCTTGTAATTAAAATAAACCGATCGGAAAGGACTAACTGCCTTTAAACGCGTACGAGGTTATAAAAAGGGATAGTAGCGATAACTTAGTTAGATTAACTAAGGGCGAGAAAAACTACTATCTAAGTACTAGTAAAAACGAAGGCGAAACCAGGTAAAAACGGGTATAGTTCCTTTAAAAGAGATAACTAAGAAACGAGAATAGGATAGATCTACTAATCGGCGAACGAGCTTTTAGGTAAGCTAATTAAAAGCTAATGGGAGGGCGTAGGTTGTTTAGATGGTCGCTATGGTTATCTACTCTCTCGTTAATCCTAACCTAAAAAAGGCTTAATCCGAAAGCTACTATAGTAGTACGGTAAGACATACCCTCTTAATGCATTACGTAACACGCTACGATAGGCCTTATGCCTATATAGAGTAACCATAGCTTCCGTAAGTACGGGATATACTATACTTATCATTTAGTTTATTACCTAGCTAGATTACTATCTTTGCTATTTTTACCTTAATTAAAGATTCGTTTTTACCATTAAATTCGTCGTTCTTCGATTAGTATATCTATCTTAGTTATAGGCGCTTAAGTTACTTCGTCGTACCGCTATAACCGAATAAGTAACTTTTACGTTTTACCCCTTTTTCTTCTTTACTTCTTATACCTTCGGGCTAGCGATCATTATATCTTTACGATTAAGGGATATAACTAAGATACGATAACTATATTAGATTCCTTACCTCTCGATTAATATAGCGATACTAGTTTTATTTATCTTAGACTATCGTACGTATTATAGTCTTCGATAGAATGCGCTTTCGAATGAATATATCTAGGTCTTTAGTATCGCGTACGCTCTACTCCTCCTTAATAGCGACTACCCTATGACTTTTTCGACCCTTTAACCTTTAGTTTACGGAATTTTTATTACGCTATTAGGATTTAAAGGATACCGATCGCCGTCGGCGCCGCTATTTAACCCGCGAAATAGCCCGCGTTTTACGTTAAATAAAGTATCCTGCCTTATAGTTATTCATTTACTATAAGGAGGTACGTATAAGCCCGGGAACCTTTACTACGATACCATAGCCGCTAGGATACTACCTAGCCCTTAATACTTATAACGCTAATAAGCTATCGATATTACGATATAATACGACGACTAAACCGCGTTTATACCGATTAAGATATTCCTCGTATTATTATTTACCTACTTATTATAGTGGTACGGTAAGACATGCCCTCTTGATGCATTACGTAACACGCTACGATAGGCCTTATGCCTATATAGAGTAACCATAGCTCCCGTAAGTACGGGATATGCTATGCTTATTATTTAATTCATTACCTAGCTAGATTATTATCTTTGCTATTTTTGCCTTAATTAAAGATTCGTTTTTGCTATTAGATTCGTCGTTCTCCGATTAGTATATCTATTTTAGTTATAAGCGCTTAAGTTACTTCGTCGTACCGCTATAGCCGAATAAGTAACTTTTACGTTTTGCCTCTTTTCTTTCCTTACCTCTTATGCCTTCGGGCTAGCGACTATTATATCTTTACGACTAAGGGGCATAGCTAAGATACGATAACTATATTAGATTCTTTGCCTCTCGATTAGTATAACGACATTAGTTTCATTTATCTTAGACTATCGTACGTACTATAGCCTTCGATAGAGTAAACTTTCGAGTAAACATATCCGGGTCTCCAGTATCGCGTACGCTCTGCTCCTCCTTATTATAAGAAGGTATCCGTAAACCTAGGGAACTATCGTCGTAATATTACCGCTACTAGGGATAGTACTTAGCCCTCGATATTAACCGCTTTCCCGAACCGCTAATAGTATAATATATCTCGTACGAATAAAT